AAAATCAGTTTACTAAGATATCTTTGGTTTAAGAATGAATGTGTCATTCCACATAAATTACTTTGAATTTTCAGCCAAAAGAGAGGGAAAAACTGGTAGAGAAACTTGAAGGCAAGCATCTTCAGAATATTTATTTTTTTCACATCTGTAAATTTTAGGAGTTGGGAGATGTGGCAAACATTTCTTCCAATCTATTAGTTTATTTAGAAACTATTTTCTTTCTCTTTTTAAAAATATGTATTTATTTAGCTGCACCCTGTCTTGGTTTTAGCACATGCTCTTAGTTTCCCCATGGAACATGGGATCTTAAGTTTCCTGACCAGGAATCAAACCTGTGTCCCCTGCATTGCAAGGCTGATTCTTAACCACTGGACCACCAGGTAAGTCATTGTTTTCTCTTTTCAAGTCTCTGAGTTAGACTGGAGAAAGCTGCTTGCTTGAATAAACACTAATTTAATGAACGAAATAAACACTATAGTTAGAGAGATAACCTGACAACAGAAAGTAAGTGCAACAGTTTATAATAAGATAGTAAATGATCGAAAAAATATAAAAAGTAGAGAAAATTAACCTACAGAAAAATAAGTCAGGTAAAAATTCTATTGTTTGTTTCATGTTTCTCTATATCTCACATGATTAAAGGGTTTTTTTAAGTCTCTTTTTGTATACAAATTTACTGTAGATTAAAAAAATTCTTTAACATAGATATATTTTGATGTAGAATTAAGTTTATCTGAAAAGTGAAATTTCTCTAGACAACACCTGAAAAAAGTCAATTTTTACATTACTGATGAGAAATTCTTCCACTGTAGACATAAGGTTTCAAAGACATCTAGGTAACTGTCTCAGGAATTACTTTGATGAAACTTAAAAATCCAAGTTCTATTTTATTACAAGCCAAAGTAATACACAGTTATGCCCAGTGCCCTCCAGATCAACAATTACTGCAGCATTATCTTCCTCACTCAATCTTAATTTAGCAGAAATCAAACCATTTAAAATCCAACAGGTAAATGCATCCATTCACTTCTCCTCCAATCAAAACCGAATGGACCTGTCAACAGAGAGGCAGACTTACAAGTGTGAAACGATTTGACCATGTTATATTTTAATTTGCAGAGACAAAAAAGACAAGCAATTTATTTACATAAAACTGTACAAAAGCAAATTAAATTATGTAAAGTATTTCATAAATAGTTGGACGAGTGTTTAATACATTTCGCCATGTTTAGCATAGTTGCGTGCATAGTGACCCATAAGAAACGATGATAAATTGTTCTCTGCTTCACTATCAACATCCAAGTAGCAGAACAAGAGTCAATGATCAACATTACAAACGGATCTTACCACACTGAATGCAAGTGCTTTAAAATGTAGGAAAAATTGTCTGAAAGTAAACCCTAGGTAGCTGAAAAAATGATGCCTTCCTCCGGATGTTATATATACCTCTGCCAGATCACAACGAACAACTTTACAATATTCATCATCATCTTCACTGTTTTGTTTTGCTTTGTTTTTCCCCCTTAAGAACTCATATTTACTGCTGATACAATATATCTAAAGCTGTTGAGGTCTTCAGATTTCTCATGTCTGTTTTAGGAGAGCTGTTTGATTCTTGGCAATTTCTTCCGGTCTCCCTGTTTTACTTCCCTATAAGACAGCTTCCTAGGGTAACCTTTCAGCTAGACATCTTCAGTACCATCTTAGTTTCTCTTCCCATAAAAATAGTGCCTCTCTTGTTTTCTGAAACACAGGCAGCAGGCCAGTCAGAAACCATAATGATATCTGGAGGTTCAGAATGAGCCTCAGAGGTTCGGATTTTAGACTGAAGCTAAAGATGTTTTAATACACATAAATTGACATAGTTACTCAATTTATAAATGTGTCCTAATGTATAATGCATGCAAAGTTCACTTGAGCTTCTTGGGTACAGAAAACAAATATGGTTTATATAGTGCACAACCAAAATGAAACAGCAGCTAAAAGAAAAATAACCACAAAAGAAGAAAGAATAGAAATGGGAAATCAGTATTTTACCTTGCAAAATGGACTGATTTCATCCCTGATAATCTCTTTCTGTATTACTATTACAATAAATGCATTAGCCTTCTAGACCAAATTAAGCAGCCCATATAAATTTTGTTTTATGAATGAATGATATTTAAGACTGGTCCACTATCTGAGTTTGTCAGAAGGCAAATTTTTAATATATTATTTATTATTTTCAGAAAATAAGCATGGATAAATATACAGGATCAAAAAAGTTGGGAATAGCCCATTTCCCCTCATTGTCCAAACCCAACAACCGTTTTTTTACCATAACAACAGGTATAAAAGGCACAGTTGCTTATTTTGCATTCACTCATTTATTATTTTTTTGTTTCTTTTTATAGATTTTTTTCAAAAGCACTCTATATATGGAGTGGCACCAGATTTAACCTATTCAAAATAAAAGTCATACAAACACAAAATAGATTTCTGTGTCATGCCAGCTCATTATAATAATAAACATGTTATGATAGCTAATTCTACTAGAATTACTGCGAATACTTACAGTACACTGAATTTTATTCTTTCACACCCATTTTAGTTCTAAAGAGGCTCACAAGTTAAATGATGATGACATGGCTATCTTGTATATGGTGCAAATGTCATTGGGGAATGTGGATCCAATTAATCCAAAGGTCCCATATGACCCGTATTAGCTTTATAGACAACAAAAGGGTTTTAAGATAGAGTGAAATGAGCTATCTAATGTTTCAAGTGTATCATGAGAGAAAAAAATGCATTAAAAAAAGTCTGTTGCACACCTGTGTTATGCAATTGAATATTTCCTTTGTAACGTGCAAGAAAAAATATGTATACATTTCATAAGTATCTTTAGAAGTATTTTGTCTTAATAGGTACTTACAGATTATACAAGGCAGAACTGCTTTAATGCAGTTTCCTAACAAAGTACTAGAGTTGCATCTTTCCATAATGTAAATAATAATCAACCATAAACATTTTCAATTATTGATATTTTAGTCCAATGGTTTTTTCTTCAATTACATATCTTCTTTCATCCTATTATACATAAACTAACATCAAAATGAAAATTCCATTTAAAAAAGAGTATAAGGAAATGACCCCAAAGTGTACCCCACCAAACAGAGAGGTGATTTTCAAAGATAAGCACTTTGATGACCTATAGTGAATTAGCAACCTGTATACCAGGCTGCTTCACTTTGTAGTCTAAGAAATACTGCAAAGCATGAAACTACCCAGAGCTATACGGTTTCTACAGTTTGCTAAAAAGCCATCAAGGCTATGCCTTAACTAGGTTACAAACATTCAGTAATAGGAATGTCTGCCCTCTTCACCTGTTATCCCCTAGCCTGTCCCTGGATTGTCACTTTTTCTGAATGCCCCAGCTTAGTTTCCCATTGTACTAAATTCTCCTCTGGAGAGGAAGTGACCCTAAAATCTGCATATTCTGTTTCTTTATATTACACTGAAAAACAAAAAAAGACTGCATATTTTTGAACTTTGAGATGTGTATACCATGAGACATGTCACTGCCCAGAACTCATTGCTTTCATGTTCAGTCTGGATAAGTTAAAGAGATACGTTAAACAATGCTCAAAATCACATTAGTGACAAAGTCAACTAGGGGTGTCACCTTGTTTCAAAGTTGTGAGTCTCAAGATAGTGCTATATTGCACAGAATGCAAAATTAATGCACTTTTGTTAGTTGGAAGTGTACACTGAATATATAAAAAAATGCACTTCAATGCACTTTCAAATGTGGATGAGACCAGTAAGTACAAACTGATTCTCAAACGATCATAGTAAACTTAACTAAGACTGTTATGCCAATGTATCTTTCTCTTCCTACCTACCCATAAATATAATATTAAAAAGTAGAATCTTCCATGATAATATTTTAGAAACTAAACTTTAACCTCAACCAATTGTCTATTATAGTACCAAACATATGTCTCACTGGTTTTTCAGTTTCTGAACTTTCAAAGGAAATTCATGCTTTCTGGGTGCAGAGAAAATTAAGATAAACTGGCTTTTGAGGGTTTCCTCTATGTGCCCGGGTTCAGGGACTTCTGATGCTTAATGGATTTCCACATCAAGACCAAATCTACTCCATGATTTCCCTGATCTGCCTTATGATCTTTGGCCTTTTAATGATACAATTGTTCCTGTTAGTTGATAATAGTGGTGCCGTTCCAAAAACATATTTAATTTTTAAAAGTTATAACTAGTGTAATTCATGTGATCAAAGTAGCATGTATACTAAGAATATTCAGTAAATGTATGGAACTGACGCTGATGCTCCCGACTTGAGAAAAACAACCTATGCCAATTTGGGACTGCTGTCTCTGACTGGGTATTGTTTATTTTTTCAGGCTTTGTTAGAATGTTAAAGCTGTGATCTTCCCCCAAACACTTCTTCTGGAGTTCCCCTCTATAAGGACTGTGCCATTAGAGGGACTCTGTCATGTTTGAAGGATTGCCCTCCATAGTTATTCATCATATTCTGATCATATGTCTGAAATACATTTCATCTGATCTGCTTTTTCTGATCAACCAGATGACATTCGAACTGAATCAAAGTGACTAAAATCATGTTTCAGCTTAGGGATAATGAGAGTATGTGTGTTCTGCTAATCGGGCTTTTTACCATGAAAGAAACTTGCAACCATCTTTTTTTGTTTGTTTGTTTTTCTGGTTTTTGGAGTGGGGTGGGGAAGAGAGAAAGAGGGTTTGGGGAATCAGTGAGGGGGTTAGACATGCAGGTAACAAGGATGGTTTCTACATTGTACATTTCAATCAGGCTGAACAGTGTCGCTCACTAAAGGCCTGATCTGGAGGCAGAAGTGGCAGGCAAAGCTTTGTCTCTTTGGTAGCCCCCTCTTTTTGATGACAAGGTTTCATTTTGCAAGGTTTTTCACCCCTTATTCTCCTTCTCATACATGAAAAGAACTTTGCTCTTGCTTCTGTATAGCCTACAGGTAAACTTCTCTTCTAGTGAGAGTATTGACAGGAGATGGCTTGTATTCCCCCGTTTTTGTAAGGGGAATATCCTCAGTGTTGGCATCCTCATTTTTGCTGAAACTAGCCGCACTGAAGGTCTCATAGGATGAGGTCAACTTTTTGTTTAGGAGGTTTCTGTTGCGGTCGCCCATGATGGCGGCCTCACCATTAGCCAGCTTTTCCTGGCTTCCTCGTTCATCAACAGGCATGAAAGTGGAGAGTTTGGGCTGGCCCTTCTTCCTCTCTGGAGAAGCGCGGACAGGCATCCAGCAAGAGTCGGAATGGCCGTACTCATCACACTCACGGGTACACTTCCCAGTCAGGGCTACATCTGGAAGAGGTCTTGAATCTGAAATTTAAGGAGAAGGAGCCTTTAAAGCAGGCCATTTCTCAGCAGCCTTTTCCAACCTACATGAAACTGTGTATTACACATACATTTCCTTTACCATATTCCCTTTTTCACACTCTGCAGTTCATTATTCCAAAGAACTGTTTTGATTTCATATCCATTAAAGATAAGGTTTTGCAAAAACTCCAAATATTATAGAGAGTAGAGGACAAACGGATAAATTTAAGTGTGTGTTGAACAGACAACAGGTATATGAGTTTGTTACAGGACAGGTACGTGTGCATATTCTCACATAGAAATAAAGCATGCAAGTATATTTGGACAGGAGTAAATTTTTCCATAGTCATAAGTTATTAAATCCAAAATACAATTTTCTGTATTTATAAATTATCCCAGAAATCATGTACTTTTGCCAATTGAATTGCTTTGCTTCTCGTTTATACATTATTCATAGAATGCAAATATGCAAAACCTTATATTTAAAATATATTATAAAACATCAGGGTGACTCAGAGGTAGAACCTAAATTGACAGCACATTATGTGGTTAAAAGGTAAAAAAAAAAAAAAGTACCAGTGGGTTCAAGTGTGAGCATCCTAGCAGAATCAGCACTTACCCGACCGAGCCCACACCCCACCCCATCTCCCACCTTGTTAATGTGCTGTAGGATAGTCCTTTGAGTGTTCACATAGAAATATACCTGTCAGTGCGTTTGCTGAATGGAAATACTATGTGAAATGCAATGTACTGGGTAAACTGAATCAAACTCCTAAAATTTTGATGAAATGACACGTATTCCTAATTAAAGATTGTTGCCTAATACCATGAGGAATATCTTCTATTTCTATAAAGCTGTACTATCATTGTATGTGTCTGTCTTTGGAGAATTGTTATATATTTTCTTACTATTACAAATACTTTTTAACGGATTTGTTTTTGTTTGAGAAAGAGAGTGAGAGAGAGAAAAACCTGCCTCACCTCAACAGATTCTAAGAAAACAACCTCTAGGGTTTTATTTAATAATATATTTGATAGTTTGTTTTACTGCCAAACAAAAGAACATAATATGACTGTGCTCCAATGTATATCGTTTGGTATCATTTTATTACAAGGCTTGGAACTTAAAAGACTGACAAATTTTAACCTCTGTAAATATATTCACAACAAAGGAAATCCATGACATTTGCATATGCATCCTGGGTAGACTGGTTTAAAATAAAAGAGGGAGTTATTTAACTTATTCCCAATATATTTAAAACTACTGCTTTCGTCTCCATACATCAACTCCTGTAGTGTAAAATGATATTCTCATTTGGTTATCATTTGTATTAGGTTATTTTAGAAGTTTCACATCATTGAAACTCCTAAATCAAGTCAATCCAATATTGCATGTCATTTTTTTTTCACTTTAGTAATGGGTGGCTAACTGAAATATTGATATTTGTCAGCTTAATGATTTTTGAACCATTGTGACCTGAGATTTTTATGCTATGTGCTCAGAGTTCAGCAAGAAAATGCCATTGTTCTTCACAGGAAATCCAGAATTGCTTTTCTCTTTTCCAAAGGCAAAATGCAAAGATAATTATTTATTGCAGTTGCAAATGCTGCTCTTTGATTTTAAGTGGACAGATCCTATTAATTTTATCATCAAAAGAAAAAGCACATTCCTATTTTTGTGTATGTGCTAAACCCTCTCTGTGTCTCTCAAACACAAATTTTAGATGCATTTAAAAAAAATCAAAGTATTGACAAATTTTATGAATGGTTTTTGTAATCTGGTTAGTTTAAATGAGCAAACTGAATTATTTGGAATATTTCCTGTCTTAGGATACTTTATTTGAAGCTGACCTAAATGCTTTGAACAGGAAAAAAAAATCTTATAAAAATGCAGAGTGTGAGATCAGATCTACTTTTTACTCTAAACATTCCTTTTCTTCTTCACTGCCTTAGTAAGTCCAAGTTTTTCCTTTTCTCTTATGAGAGTGCCTACCAAGGACACAAGACAGTAACAAGAAATTTAGCTACTGAAGTAGGAAAAGGTCTTTATAAATGTGTTTGTCATTCCCTGAAGGGATGATACAGAATTGTCTCTAACATCTCTGCGTTTACTTAAGTATGACAATTTACTTAGACAATGACTTACACAGGTCGCTGCTTTTGGGGATTAATTTGTGTTTCCAGTCTGAAATTCATAGCACCTTGTGTATACTTTGTTGGAGATGTACTTAGAGATAGCTCACAAAAACACCCTAACACTCTAACACCTCTTCCTACCTGTTATACTTAATTTGTGTACCTTGAACTCCCAGTAGCTCATAAAAAATTATATTCATTTAAATTGACTCAATTTCCAGTCAACTAGAAATGAGATGCTCTTCAGTTCATTCCTATCAGTCTTTACTTCATAGTCCGGATTATTTCCTGCTAAGATTGATTTCCTGTTTTTGCTTTTAAGGAAGGGCAGCTTACCTTCTCTGCCATAAGCCACATGTGGGCTGCCACATCTCTATCCCAGAAGGATGACTTTTAATAAGGATCTTCTGTCACTTCCAAAGTTAAACACTTGATTGGGGACCACAGTGGAAGTTTGACAAGCCTAATTGGCTGAGACATGTTGCAATGTTTGTCATCAAATTTAGAAAATAATCAAGAAAGGCTATAAGAGATTCATCACAAGCAATCAAAACTTCTAATCTTGGTGACTCAAATCCTCAAAAGAAATGCCAATGATTAACAAATGCAATTTATATTATGATGCAATTTATTAAGGGAAGGCATGAGTAGAATAGTATTTTTTTCTGTATTTCCTTATTTTGTTTTTGCAAGTAGGTACTATATATATTTTTAAAAGACAGGAGTTATATAGGGTCTTACAGAATTATTAAACACATCTTTTCTCCCTTTTCTTAAAAGATACACTCCTAAAATGTCTTCTTTTCATGGGATAGTAGAGCAGATCTTCCATAAATAGTAATCCTTCTTAGGCTTTCACTGAAGGAGGTGTTTTCTTATATCTAAGAACATGATTGCACACTTCAGTTTAGCACTCTTCCCTTTCATTTTGACCGGAGTGAAGACAGAAAATAGTTAATCATGACTCTTTTTACACAGTACTGAGTAAATTAATTAAAAAAGCAAAATATTCTGTATCAAAACATGGTATTCTGTATCAGCATTTTCCGTAAGTAAGTGAGTTCCTCAGAGGTCCCCCCTTCACATGCACTTAATCATATTAAATCTTGAGACGACTGAAAGTCAAACTGGTATTCATTAGGTCTTATTGCTTTAGCATTATTTGCAGTTTTCCACTTTCAGCTAGCTATGCTATTTACTAGAAACATTACATACAATAACTTTGGAAAGTTAAAATCTGTTCTTAGACATAAAGTTAATTATCCCCTCAAAAGTACAGAGCTTTCAGCTATCATAATATCAAACAATGTATAACACATAAAAAAATTCTCTGAACTTCTTCCTTCTTACTTATCACCTCAATCCAACAGCAAGCAGGATGGAAGTAGCGAGGGGTTCAGACGATGAGAGAGCTGAAGCCAAAGAGCAAGTGTTTTGACTTTCACTTTAGTGTTTCCCATAACACCATATTGTTCCTTCTTAAAATGTAACAGCAGAGTTATTTAGAGGTCAATTACCGCTACCCATAGCCATAAGAAAAAGTTACAGTCTCCTAAGAAAGAGGAAAAAAAAATCTAAGCAGACAGGAATGAGATGTCACGAAGACAAAAATTTTAAAAATACTTTAAAAATAATTCAACCTTTTTAACAACTATACATTTCCTAATGTGAAGGAAATTATAACTAATTTAAGAAATCAAGTTCTTTCTCTACCAAGAAATGTACTTCATCTTACTAGGCAGGACAGATGAGTAGGTGGTGAGAAGATATTGCTACACAATGACCTCAGCAAGAAGTGACAGATAATATGCAGCATCGTTAGAAATACAAAGGAAAGCCCAGATTTAAGGAGGCATTTAATGTTCCCAGAAGCTGTCTTATGCAATTCAGAAACTTTTAGAGGAATCAGTATTACAGGAGAGCAGTGGAATTGTTAAGGCTTTTAAAGACAGCTCTGTACCAGTAACAATTTGGATAGACTCAGTTATGCATTTTGCCAGAATCCTGATCACCCACTCCTATTCCAGGCCCTTATCTTGGGGCAGAACATATAAAGATGTTTCCATTTCCTAAAAGAATTGTGAAAATGTTGCATTTAGTTTTTAAACATTTCCAATGAGTTTTTTCTTTGTTTTGTTCTAAGCTCAGATACCTAAAGCTATATGCATCAATTGCTTATTTGTTAAAAATACAAATCACTTAATTCTCTGATCACATGAAATAAATGGCTTCTTAACAGACATGTAGACGTCTCAGACAGTCACACCCTTCCCACGCACTTAGCCCATTCTTAACATTACTTAACAAAATTTTGCGAATAAAACACTGTGCTATTCTCATCTTTGGGGGAGAAAAAAAGCACACACAGGCACATTTTCCTTTTGCCTTTTTAAAGAATTTATTTTTCTGTTCTTTGGCTTGACTTCCTATTATCTGAAGACTTCCTTTTCTGGAGACATACCTGATTATGGTGGAATTTGGTGGACAAGGCACAGGTTTTACAAAAAGATGAACAACAGCAAAAAAGGCAGATAAATTTTGTTGATTTTCCAACTAATACTTTAATATTAGCTTTATTTTCTTTAATTCAAATGAAAGTATCATTTTTATTCCAGTGATTCAATAGAGTACTTTATTTTAAAATAGCTGTCAGAAAATGATTTATTCTTGGCTTATATTATAGATCTGCAAACAAATAACTGCATAAACCTTTTATTGGAACATTATTATTATAGTCAGTGAAGTTTAGGAATGAGGTTATGAGATCAAAAAAGTGCATACTGAGTTAGACTCGGCTTTTTATATAAATGATCCAAAGATCAGGGTTTCTCTAGTGGCATTAGTGGTAAAGAACCTATCTGCCAGGG